ATAGTAAATATGAAATGGAACCCAGAGAACGATGCATATATATATATATATATATATATATATATATATATATATATATATAAATTATGTTTGAACGAATAAAATTATGTAAAGAAAGTTAATATAAACTGAAATATGGCAGTCATTGCTGAAAAAGAAAGGTATGTTCCCAGTGAAAGCGTCAAAAGCTGAACATTTACTCTCATATGAGACTCCTTTAAAGTAGGGAAGATATTTAAATTAACTGAATTGTTTACGAAAGGGAAATTGAAAGTTTATTCAGAATTTTGAATATTACTCAAACTGAAGTAGAGCTGCATCAATTCATGGTCTTTTTTTTATAGCATAAAAATATAAACAATTATCGTCTTTTTTATTTGACACTTATAATAAGTTGTTTATCCTGAAATTGTCCTACTTTTATGTGAAAAATTGTAATTGATAGTTAAATTACTGGAATTCGACAGTCTATTACGTTGAATTGATACCTTATTTTAAAAGATAGTTGTTTGGTATTCTTGCCTTCAGACTTAATTTAATTGCGCTCGTTTGTGAATTTCTTCATTGAACAGTTTTATAGTTACTTTACATGTCAAAGTTTGTTTTGCATACTACAATGAACTTGATCATCGTACAAAATAATTTATTGAAAATAAAGATTTTAGGAATATAAGTTGTACTGACATAATGCTATGACACAACGAAATTACGAGCAAAGTCAGAGATATTACATAAATTTTTATCTTCCTCATCTTCAACAGTAAGCACGAAAAGCAAGCGATTATCTTTAACTACAAACTGTGAACAGTGAATTTTAGTACTATTTGGAAATGCTTGTAACATACCCTAGTTGATACTGAGGATTGTTTCTCAATGTAAACTTAAATACTAGTTTAAAACAATAAGTCCCTTTGATAGATTTTGATAATGCAATGAGAAGACGTAGTTTATCAGAATTATGTGATTTATTTGCGCAATACATTTCGAACAATCTGATCACACACATACTTGTTAAGAACATTTATATATGAAAATTAAAAGGTAGTACTGATTTACTATCCAGAGTGGTAATCACATTTGTTTTTTGTGTACTTTAATATTTTTCCTTTGTTATGACTTATCCTTAACCTGTCTAGTTGACCTTTTAATTTTTCATATATAAATGTTCTTAACAAGTATATGCGTGATCAGATTGTTCGAAATGTATTGCGCAAATATATCACATAATTCTGATAAACTACGTCTTCTCATTACATTATCAAAATTAAATACTAGTATTAAAGTAAATCCATTGCCAAACAGACAAGAACGTGCGTCGTGATATCAACTGTTAGTCACTGTCCAATAATAATATTAATTTGAAAAATGTGTCAGAAAATCTAGTGTATAACAAAGAAGGTTACTTACCATCTTATAATATCATCACGGTGCCTGCAGGCGAACAGATTTAAAATTAATGGGAAATTGTAATATTACACTAATTAGTAGAATATTTCAACGAAATTGACTATTTTTTTATTTTTATTGAGATAATAAATGTGTACGGAGATTTAGTGAAATGATACAGAAAATATTAGGATTAAGAGAAGTGAAGACTTAGGTAAGTATAATAGTTGTGCACATTTTATTTGAGTGAAAAAATCAAACTTTATCTCATTGATATTCATGTATACTATTGTTTTATGTTGAAAATAGGAAATATTTAAAAGTTGTAAGCACTGTTTCTGTTATTACAACCATAAAGTCATTTAACTCGTTTCTTGGATCATTTAGATCTATCATAAGTCCAAAGAAAGCTCTGATTCTCGTCATAGAATAAAAAAAACTGATTTAAATATTAACTCAAAATCATGATGGAAAAGAAGAATTATTAGTTTTTTTGATCATATAAATATTCTCATGTTATTTTTTCCATACTTTCATTCATATTATAATTAGGAACACAGAATAAAAAGTTACACATTATTAATGGCCAAGATTTTACTGCACTATGTTGAATACATAATCAATCAAGTCTAAGGAAAATTAATTAACTAAAGACAATCGAAGTGATTAGTAAATTATTCCATAAAAGTTTGTGAATATTTTCAACATAAATACAGCTAAAAAGAACTCAGATTACATAGAATTTATTTCATTTATGCTTAATTGAATGAGACATAAATGTATTGTAGTAGTTGACCAGCTTTACAATTAGTTGTTCTTAAAAATGAATATAAAATGACTTGATGAATAATTTTTAACAGGATGAGTATTTTTTTCTCTTTTTTTCTCTTTTTTTTTAAAAAATAAGTAACAAATCAGTAATGAATGTACTATTAATTCAATGTATCTATTTGATTGTTTATTTTTCTTGTTGCTTTTATCCATTGATGTAAATTAGTAATTTTGTCATCTGTCAATAAGACTACCCACAATGAAATTAAAATAATTAAGTTTATCAACTCTGTAAATATTTCACATATTGAAAAGTATGTGCACATCTATTTATTATACATACATATATCATCATATACTATTTTCATTGACATCTATTTACATATAAATAGATATAATGGTACTTCTATTACATTTTAGAAAACCTTTTTTTTGGATTTATTGAGCATTGTAACAATTTATATTAGACAAAAAATTGAAGGAACTCACATGTTCAATATAAATTATTTAATAGTATATATTTACATTAGAACATGATTTGTGCTGACTAACTGATATAGATGATATTTCGACATTTACACTTTTCAGACAGTGTTTATGAAAAAGGAGACTATTCAAATACAACATAAATGTTCCTTTTTTAGTTTTATGTTAAAAAAACGATATAATTAAAGACAATAATGAATAAGTCCATTTTTTTTAATGAAAAAGAGAAAATATGTGTAAATTTGAGATACATTACTAAACATTTCTTCAAGTTTCTTTTCCGCAAACGACTTTTAAATCATATACAGATAGATTCAAATGCACTGACTTACTATAGCCATTAAGAATATGAAAACTATGAAACGTAGAGTGTATATTAATATTTTTCTTCTTGAAACTTATCTCATTTAAAGTAAATAGAAGAAATATTATTTTCATCAACGTATTTATGTAATACTATGTATAATATCAAAGGTTAATAAACAATTTGGTAATAAGAAACAGTTAATAATAGTTAGAATCTTCACTAGTAAAATGCACATTTCAGTAAACTCATCATTTTATTGATAGAGTGATCTTTTCATAATATGAAAAGATTGATAATATAATCTGATTTCTTGCATCTATTGACGACTGACAAACTGTTATTTATTATATATATTGTTATCTAAAACTCTACATTTTCAGCGATATTAAACTAAAATTAAAATTTTAAATAATGAAATATTTCAATATAATCTGTGTTAAGTTATTTACTAATTTTGTTAGTTTTTCAACAAATTGTTTTTTTATTTTCAACAATTCCTATTGATCAATTTTAATTTATTTGTTCTATGCAACAAAAAACCACAAGATATATTTTTGAAAAATTTACCCTCTCTATGATAATCTTAAATATGTCAAGCGTGTAATTATAAAAGAAATGTGTTATAATTATAAATAATTTACATCTCTTCTTCTTATTCTGATATTTTTCTTTCTTTCTTTTTTTTTTACTTGTAAATATAATTGAAGATAGTAAAAATCAAATTTACTTTGATTATGCCCGCGGAATATCTATGCTATTTAATACTAAGTCAATCAGTTTAACACAACATCATTTTGTTGTTTGTTGTTACTTTGTGTTCTATTGAAACAAAAATGACAAAGCAGATAATAGTAAGCGCTTGCGTTACTATATATATATATATATATATATATATATATATATATATATATATATATATATATATATATATATATATATATAAGTTTATGAAGGATTAATAATTCAATATAGTTAAAATTCCATCTTTTTATCTAAATTGAGCTAAATTAGCAAACATATTTTTTCATCAAAGTTTGTTATGTAACTAGTAAATGAAAACGTTTTTTTTTTAAAAAAAAATTTATTAGAAACTCTACTGTTCAGACAAGACAACTACAAAAATGAATTTTAATGGAATATAATACTTTTTATGATGTATACAAAAACTGAATTATTTTGTTGGAACCTTTTTTCTAAATTGACTAACTTAAGATTACTAAATGAAACCATTAAATTTGTAAATACATGTTAAGTGAATGAGTGAAATGAAATAAATTAAAGATAAAAATCATTTAATGAAATATGAATGTTAAAATATTCTTTTATTATTCACAAATGAACATTGTTTTTGTTACTTTTACTTTTTCAATGAAAATGCTATACCAGTATTCATTAGTTTCCGTTGTTAATTTTCAATGATAGTAAGAATTATCACAGAGTTCTATGTTATCTAGCCTTGATATTACCTATAAAATATTTATAAATACTTTTATAAGTAATACCTTGGAATTAAATCAATTAGTTGCAGGTTTAAACGTTGCATTTTAATTTTAATTTTTGAAGTATCTTCAGTTCAAATAAAATTGTATGTAGCTTGAAGGTCTAGTATATTAACCTGGAATGAGTAAACGAGTTACTTATTTGTGTTTTGAGATATCACTCTACCTACTTTGATTTGTGTTGTCAGGTACTAGAAACAACCATTATGTAAAAAAGATCTAGCTCGAAGCTTTGTGTGCATTTGTGTACTTGGCAAATTATCCTTCATTGACATTACAATAAATGATTAATTTCATTAACACTAAGTAATGAGGCTTTTGATCATCGTTTTGATAAACACATTATCTATTTAGTTCTTGTTATTTATTTAATTGAACGTTAGGTGACTTTCGTGGCGTCTTATTACTTAAAGCTTGTAGCTTCACCGGATGTTTTAGAAAAGATTTCGGAAGATTAAAAACGATAGTCATATTATACATGAAATTACTTTATGTTTTAAATCATTCACATGCTTACTGATATAATTTCTCTTTGAAACCTCATTTTGAAGATACCGGTTCAGAGGTACCCATTCCTAACGCTTTCAACTTGTCGAGTGGTGCATACTTTTGGCTATATAACTCCCAGTGCAAAGGTCCAAAGGCCTCTCCATTAATAAGCTTGACAAACACAATGATTTTGAATAATTCAGCTGAAGATGATCAATCAAGTCTGACAGAAAATTGTCCTTCAAGTGTCTATCAAGACGATTTTGTATCTTCTAGTGCTTCTTCTCGTGTTATTAATCCAATAATACATTATCCTATATCCCCATTATCCTTGCCAGGATATCCATTTGTCGTTTTTGAAGATCCTGTGCAAAGAAGATATGATTTAGTTCATTGCTCGAAATTGCGTCGAGGTGACGGTAATGATGTGACTCCAAATTTAATGCGTTTGCGTTCTATGGGAGAAGAACTTGCTCATTTGAATAAAAATATTACAGCTCAAGGTGAGTTGATTGCTACAGGTGCAAGTTCAGTGCTTGATCAGCCAGATATTAATTTGGATTTTAAGGTGATTCAGGATCTTTCTGGGAGTATCTTCAATTCCAAAATAGTTGAACAGGCAAAACGCGAAAAAAACAAGTTGGCTAGCAAGTAAGTTTTATTATACTAGATTTCAGGAGTTAAATATTTTAAATCAAACATATTCATTGCTTTGAGTGAAGTAACACGCGTCCACTCTTTATCATTTAAACATAGACATCATGATCAACAAATTGTCTATTTACTGCAGGTAGACATGAAAACATTCCCTGTTATTATACTTATTGAAAAAGCAGATCAAAACAAGAAGAAAATATGTTTTTTGATTATTCACATCACGGATTGAGAGTGGTTTTACAATCATCAGGAAGCATAAGATATATGTTTTATCGTTTGGTTGGATATTTTCAGTAATGTCAAGTCATGGTCTTATTGGAGATCAAATTAAAACCCGTCAAGTCTTTCAGTGGGCACCTAAACTTTAGCATCCAATGGTCTATACATTTAACCTCAATCAATTTGAGACATTACGCAGCCATCATCCAGTGTTCACGGTGATGAATTAACTCATACTTGACGTGGTTGAACTCCACTAGCCATGGATATTCACTAGAACTACCGTAATTACCTCTTGAAATTAGTCCATATGAGTACACGATTCTTATTATTATACAGAAGGTTTGTGGGGATTGTTAAGGTTTGGAATTAACATCACCAACTGATCTTTTTTAGATATGTAAATCATTGGGTGTCTGCTCAGTGGTCTAAAGGTTAAGTTCATACTGAAAGATTTGAAGATATTTTGCTCGATTCTCGATGGGATAATAGATGAACATTGTTGAAAATTCCATACTACGATGAATTATATATCCATTCCTTTCTGGTTTTCAACAGTTGTTTGAATAAAATCAGTCCTTGATATGCACCGTAAAAATTAGCAATCATCACAAACCTCTTATCTGGTGAGAAAATTTTTAATGCATTCACTTCAACCGACTTGCTCATAAGTAAAATGGCTCAGAAACATAGGACTTCCTGTCAAAATGTAATAATTTTGATGCCAAAAGGATTCAAAATTATAAGTCACGCCGAAATAAATGAGAACAATATTTATTGTAAAATGGAAAATTAAAGATATGATAATAAAATAGTGAATACGTCAGAGATGAATAACTAACATTTTGACTGTGATTGTAAACCTAAACCATGTAATTTTTGGTCATGTCTTGGAAAATGACCTGTATTTCATAACTACAATCAGTAATTTATTGACATTAATGTACATCACGAAGTGTTTACTTTTACAGTTTTTCAACATCATTGCATTTTCGATAGCTTCGAACATGATTACAGACCGTAATTTCCATTAGTATTTAGGAATTTTAGTATTTTATTCTACGTTGATGTCTTGATTAGTAAAAAGGTTATAGAGATGAAATCTGTGTTTTTGGCCAAATTTGTTTGAACGATTTAGATCAGTTAACTACCTCTAGAGTCGTACACAATGAGTCTATGGTGCAGGAAAGAAAATCGCGGAACCTTTATGAAACTCCTATACTAGTAACATTCTTGTTTTGTTGTAGATATAGTTGGTCAAAATCGTAAAATATCATTTTAATGTAAAGGTAATCAAATGAATAGTTTTGGTGATAGACTCAAAAGTAACTCGTATATATTTGATGTCTGCTTTTACTTAGTGAAGGTATTTTCAATATAGGGATTACGTAATCAGTAAAGTGCTTTATGTAATAAAAATAGTATCTTTTAGTAACTTAAAGAATCGTTGTAAATTACCTTACCAGTGACTAAGTATTGATTATCTATTCTTAAATGTCTCTAATTGGACGTTTCTTATGTTCACAATTACCTAAAGAAATAGGTAATTCAACAGATTAGTCAAATATCCTTACAATCTTTAAGAATTATGATTAGAGCAGATAATTTTGTGGTATAGAAACTAAAGCATTGTGGTGAAAATCGTTCAAACAGAAATGTAATATTAAAATAAATATATGTTGTTCAGGTGAATGATTTCGATATAATATTGTATGGTTTAATACATAAGTATTTATTACGCAGAATATTACATATATTGAGAAAATCACTTTTCAATGAATTTAATATATAGAAAAACCAGTCTTAACTGATTTATCAATACATCAAGCTGAGCAAGAACAAAGATTGGCGCAGAATAAGATGAATTCTTTTTATTTCGTCAGGTTCTCATCAGCTGCTTAAAACCTAAGATTTTTGAAAATTAGAGTTATTCCAGATATTGACATTGTCAATATTTAATTTGAACAGAAACATACACATTTTCTTCTGAGGAGACAGAAGTGATATCCAGTACGCGTGCCATTTCGTCCTATTTAAAACTCGTCAACTGGATGTACCTGCATCCCAAAGTTTATGTTCACTTTAGGACTCAAAACCAGTACCAATCGCTTCAAACATCAATGGGAAGATTCAAATAAACAATACAAAATGAATTAAAACTTCACTCTATTGAACAAGTAAGTGACTATCAGGACTCAGTAGCTAAGTGGATAGTGCGATGATGTTTTAAGCGAACGGTACTGGGTTCGTGTTTTGGTGTGAACATCAACTCTGGGACGCAGGCACATCCATCTGACGAAGGAAACGTGCGTCCTGGATCACAAGCTTACCACTAACCATGTTTGCATATAATGATTGTGTTAACTTAGTTCGGTTATTTCTTAACCTGAAGAAGTGGCTTACATTAAGTCATGAAAAGTTGGAAACACAATTTTCTACTCATTGCGATATAACAAAAAATATATTTATTATTAACTTTCTACCAGATGTTCAATTTATTCGAAACTATCAAGTTCAACTTTGACACTGATATATATATATATATATATATATATATATATATATATATATATATATATTCTTTGCCAGTATATATAACATGTAACATAATTTATGTTGTATAGAGTAGTAATTCACAGAAAATAATATACGCAAATAAAGTGTAATATATTCCTATGAACTACGAATTTATTATTTCCAGATTACAAGTTTGAAGGTATTTCAGCATCATCTAGCTATTTTTCCAAAATTTGGTGAATGGGCACCGGATATTAATTTTTGGTAGTTTACTTATTAAACTCAAAATATCTCCTTTTCAATCATTTCTTGATTTCTTAATTTTTAGGTTACCTTTCTTCATACATAATTATTTGTTATATTCTTCATAGTTTTAAGTATGAATTTGCCATCTTGATTTTAATTTTATTCTTATGTTATAATTGAAAGCTTTGAGTCTTATACAAGTGTGGAAGTTACTTCTTGAAAAGTGACTCTCATCAAGTATTTCAATATAAAATTTTACAAAATAAATTTTTATCAGGTAATAATGACTTTATACTGAATTTGTCTGATCAATCTGACTAATAGTAATAAGTATGCTTTGTTTTCATCAATAAGGTCTTCAATAGTTTAGTTGAAAGGATTTTATGAAAAACAATATCATAGGAAATTTTATAGCGATTCTCTTTTCAAGCCATGAATGATATCACGGAAACTATCACGTTGATAATTAAGTCATTGTAAATTATTGTCTTATTTGATTATTATTACAAAGAATTTTGTATTCATTTTTCTATTGATAATTCAATGGCCATCTTATTTATCTTTATCTACATTTATTCATTGAAATCATGACTCACGAATTTGATAATAATCTATTGACTGGAATATATTCATTGTTTTACTCCTTTCACCATTCATGTAATTTAGTATCATTTTGTTAGAGTTCCTTTAGTACGTATATATATATATATACGTAGATATTTTGGTTTGTCCGTTGATGAACAGTTGGTTTACAAATAAACTCTATGATGAAAGAACAATATAATGGCACTAATCTTAGAGTAATCTCATTAGAACTTTACGTGAAAGAAATGAGATTGAGATAATCATCAGGAAAATAACTAATACTAATCTCTTCGGAAATTCCATTACGTAATTTGTCGAAATTCGATTACATTCATGCTAATTGTGTTTTCTTCAATTTATAGAATAGTTCCCATTGTCTTATAACACGTAGTCATATGGAGTAAAATAGTGAATTTATTGGTTGACTGAAAAATGAATATGTAAAAATATTGTTTCATTATAAAATTTATTTATTTTAATTAACAAATTATTTAATAAGAAAGATTTACTTTTTTTTGCTGATTTGTGTTGTCTTTTAATATCAATTTATTCATTAGACTTCAAACATTTATTTGCTAGTCACACTTTGTATATTTATTCGGCCATCTGACATATTTCTTTACTATAGCGATAACTTTCTGGTTGACAGTGGATTATGAAATGGTCAGTTGTAATAGATTAATCAGTATTACAGTGTTATTAGTTGATGTAGTTGCGTTTACTACTTTGCAATGTGCTTCATAAAATACTTCACTATGGTTCAAACTATCAATATTACTTAGAAATTATTAGCTTTGCTTTCACACGAATTATGAGGCGATTGTAAACGACAGAGGCTGTAATTGGTTGAAAACCATGAAAGTCACTGATGGTTCAATTTCAGTCAAGGTATAATTGTCAGAGTTAACTGGAAATCACTAAAGTTCATGTTAAGATTTCTACTGACGGCTTTTGAATGTGAAGTTTATGTCACATTACAATCACTCAGTTATCCACCATTTACAAGAAGCATTTCTGCCTTCATTTACAATATAGCACATCATATCTGAATATTCTCATTAATATAGGCCAAATTTTCTGACGAACTCAAAGAATAAAGGGGAAGGATCTAATAATATGGCAATTTTTTTGATGACTTTTGATTTTTCATAGATTAATCAGGGTATACAGTGCACATGAAGTGTGTTAATTAAGCATTAAGTAAGTATTAAGTTGAGGCGTTAACGACATCATTAACAAACAAAATTTATTATACTTCCATTGACAAACATAGATATTACCAAAGTTGTTTATAAAGGTTTTGATAAGTTGATGGCTACTAACTGTTGCCTTTTTTCACATAAAGTGTAATCAGGCTCATATCAACGAAATACAGAATTCGACAGTGACATGCTAACCTATAGTATAAAATATACATGTACATAAATTTCTTCACATCAAAATTTTTCAAAAGCGATGTTCTTATGTTGTATTTTAATTATTTCATTAAATTAAAGCTATCGACATCATGAAATGTTGATAAGTTAGTTAAATTCTGGTAGTCTTGTATTCTATGGGATAGATGGTTCGATCAAAAGTATTCATTTAGGGATCTTATCATCACCTTTATGATTGAAAATCATCATCATGACAAAATATAACTTACAAATAACCGTTTCAATGTATTGGCATTCAACAAAGTAATATGAATAACAATGACAAACTTTTGTTTAATTTAATTTAATAACCTAAAAAGTAAAAACAATAATTCTTATCATATATCAGTGGGATTAGATATAATCAAACCATGAGATGGTAATTTAAAATTTTCCACTAGTTATAATTATTTTTTTCGTAATAAAGCGTTTCTACTGTAGACGAATCTATGAAATACTGTTTTACAACACATACTACCTCTATGTGCATAAATATTTTTTAAAATAAGTGGGTGGTTATCATTTATCTTTATGAAAGATTATTATTCTTACTAAACGGATCACAAGATATTTTAAGCTCTTACTCCTCCCAAGATTACCCTTAAACGTATTGAGTTATTGTGCGTTGTAAATGGACAACTCAGAACTCTAGACCCAGGTTTCGTGCTATTTCACACTGATCAGCATGATATTAGTAAAGACTTGATGGAACTGATGCTCTCTGATAAATTTGACTTCGTACCGTTCAGTTACACAGTCAGAGATATCGCAATAAATTTATTTGGGCCACCACTAACCTCTTGCAGCACTGAGACATTTGCAAGTAATTGGTTAATGATTAGTGACCACTGTTACGTTTGCCTTGTTTTTTTTTTAGTTCCAAATGAATTTTATTGATAAAGTTATGAATATCTCAATCCTACAGAACATTACAGCATGATCAATAGAACTTGATCTGCAAAAAGGATTAGACATGCATGGCATTGGTCAGTGCTCAGTAATCAATAAGTAGTGTATCCTCAAACGTGATAAAAACTAATATTTAACCAACAATTTCATTGTTTGAAGTATTCACTTATTTCATTTGGAACATAAATTTTTAATACACTACTGAAAAATCAACTTTTAGTACACAACACTATTTTAACATATCGTTTGTTACTTTAACTATTTAACTACGTCTATTCGTAAGTACAGATTTCTTAGGGTTACGACAAACAAATAATGTGCAATAGAAAACACCAAGTTCGAATAAGGTTTCTCTTATAGGAAATGTCTTTAGATGTCCTAAAAGAATCAAAGCTATGAATGACAATTCAATTATAGATGTAATAAGAGCATTGGGCTAAAAAGTAACGTATGAATCTGTCCTTTACCTTTATAAAAAAATCGAATTCATGAATGAATATTTTCTGAATTAAATCTTGAATAAATTAGACTTCAGTTTAAAAACTTTTCCGAGATGGTTTATTCTAATAATAAAAGTCAGCTGTTCAAGAACTGTTTGGGACTGCCAAAACTGCATAGTATAAAATGTCTTGAGCTATCTATAGAAAAATATATTCATATTATTCATGAAAAATATAAAGTTTTGTGATTGGAGATTATTTATTCGATACCACCTATTTTTTGAATCACAATTTATAAAAGGTTTATAAAGCGTTCCGTAAATTGGATTTTTGAATGTATATATTTCTTTTCAGAATTTGTCGCCTTAAAAAGAAAGCGTTTCACGAAGCCAATAAAATTAAATATCTTGGATTGGAGATTGAGTACAGTAAGTTGAATATTAACCTAATTAATATTCTTTATTTTATATTTCTTTCTTCCACTAAATAAAATTAAATTCGGTTACAATAAAAATGTTGCTTTTTTATCATCTAATAGATATTGATAATTTTAACTGTTTGGAAATTGAATTGACAGTTATCGTCAGTAGGTAAAAAGAAACTCAGAGAACAAAACTCCATCAAAATCATTCACCTGAGCTACAAATCTTCTCCACCATCTTAAAAATTTTTTACTGTAGACAATAATTTTTGAAGTTTAATAATGCATTTGTACTAAATCATAACTTTTAAATTTCATTTCATTTTACCTTACTGTTGATAAACGGGTTTGAAATCACTCTACGAGATGATTTTTCAACAAAATAAATGCAATCTTTTTATCAAGTTAACAACAGCTCTTGGATTTTTAGAATATTAAATTAAACATTATGTTGACACAAAATAAAACATAAAAAAACGAAATTTAGACAACTAAATATTGGTAGATGCATTTTGTCAAAGATTAAGAGCAATTGAGTCATTGTTTTAGATCAAGGAACATGGAGCAAATGTTTAATCTGAATATAGAGTTTCTCATCTATGCTTTCTTATTACATAAAAAATTTTGAGATACAACCTATAAGACACTTTATAAGACAGAACCATGAAGGTTTAAATACCTTTCTATGTTGCATATCGTTGTTTATGAACCATGACAGTGAATGAGAATTTTTTTCCAAAAGACCAGTTAGTATAAGTGAAAATATACGTACATTCGGATCTCCTAACCTATATGATCAGTCTCTCAAATAATCATGACAGAAGATGTTCAGAAATCCAATGTTAAACGTTGTTGATATAATGTATACTTTAGCTATTGACACGACAGAAGTCGGACTGGCACTTAACCTTAAATCTACCAGTCGAGCCTTACCTTGAGAATTGTTTATAAATATTCCCATTTAGTACTTAAGTATATACTACTTAGGCGGTGAACATGTTACATATAGTTGAGGGATAAAATGGTATACTTAATTAGTTAGTTTTTAATTTACAACTGTTATATAAAAGAGAATTTAAACAATCATAATGTTTGGGCATTTGTTGGTGAGAAATTTGTTTTTGGATTCATTTGATAACCTCATTTTATGATGAAATACATATGGGTTATTTCAAAACATAACACAGCTGGTTGATGTTCTTGAGTCTAAGTTATTTAAGCTACTTGAGGACTTACAGGCGAAGTGATAGGAAATAAATATCTGATTAAGCCGTTGAAAAGTACATTTGAAATTAACTTCTATCATAACTTGGAAAACTCTCATGGTTTACCTAAACCCATTCTCGATGCATCTTATATGCTGAGTAGTTTTTAAATTTCAATTGCAAGATTTTATTTTTATTACACTTCAGTAAATAGCAAATTAACATCGTCACATCCATTGAGAAACATTATAATGATTAAGTATACATAGGAACTAATGGCGATTTCGGATTACTGATATTTTGAGCTATCTAAAATATAAACACAGTATTTAAAAAGAGAGAATATTTTCTTTATATTTTGAAGTGTATATTATAATCCGATCGACTGCTTAACTCATTTACAAAAGTATTTCTTCATTCACTTGAAAAAAAATAATTTCATTGTTAATTTGCACATGATTTTCTGTTATTTTATTTTGATACCATCACCACTAATATACTTTTACGTAGACCAAAATGTTTACTGATCTGTACTGATTATGAACAAGTTCGTACCTTTTTCCATGAAAAAGTTGTTTTGCCCTAAGATTAGATATATCTACTGTAAATGTAACGAAGATGAATTATATAGTAAAGTTTGAACAAAATTGTAAACATGAAACTTTGAAGCAGTCAAAATGGCTATAATGAGTAAGACTATTAAAGACTTTCATGTTACAACTTTTTCTCTTATTTGGAATTAATTGTTGATAGAATTTTTGACTCATAGTTTAGCGTCAAATTAATTCATTATTCAAAGTATATGTACTGAGACGATAAATAATGTTCTATTCAACAGTTTACTAGTATTTTCTGTGACTAATTCAAACACCTTTCAAAATAACAACAATAAAATAAACGTTTTTGGAAACGGGAAAAGATTGTGCTGTTTTCTAATATGAATCAAATATAGCACCAACGTACTGAGTTATTTGCTTGCACAATAGTGGATATTACCGAATTTTCATAGTTTTTAAATCCCGATATGATTTGCCTAGAGTAGTGTTTGAAATTTCAAAGTACCAGACAGCTGTTTCGTCCTAATATGAGGCTCCTCATCAGTACTCGAAAAGACTCCACTACAAGGAATCGAACCCATAACCTTCGGCCTCGTCACTGAGCGCTAACCGAACCGATTATTGAACCGGTATTTAGTGGTAATAATATCCAACTTCAATTAATTTGCGATATTATGTAATCCTCATACATTACTTTAAGTTGAGTTCCAAACATAACGGCTTCTTATTAGAACTGTAGGAGGTGCATCTTTAACTTACTTACTTGTGAGGTAATGATTACTATTACTACAAGATTTCGCGCTGATCATACAATTTTCAAAACTTATAAATTACTAAATAATGATAGCTAAACCACCATCTACGTTTATTTAAAAAAGCGTTTTGAGAAAATCGCAACAATTGAAGCAGTAAAGGCAATAGCAACACAATGTTCTTCATACTTTATGATAATTGATACATATTTTAATCTTTTTTTAAACTGGGTGCACTATATAATAAGGTTAATCAAAAAATGTTTATCTAGTTAATGAGTTAACCTTTATGTCACCAGCAAACCACACAAGTTTACACAAGAATGAATATAAAACAAATATATGTGGACAACGTGATATCAATAAGGTAACTAAAATAATTTTGCACTATATGCTAATGCTTAAAATACTCCTTGAAAATAATATAATGATTAAATGAATGAATAAACGGTCGATTAATCAAAATAACCACTTGTTCATTTCAATTTTATATTGAAGTTAAACATAAACAACAAATCAAAACAATAATTGGAACAACACTGATAGTGCTAAAATGGAAACACTTGTATTTTTGAATCAGATATTTATAAGACAACATGAGCCAACCAAATATTTGTAATACATATACATTTGTTACTAATATTGGACAATCGAGGTTTTTTCTCTTGAACATAAATCTTGAGTCCAATACTGGTTATCGTATTTATTGATTATATATATATATATATATATATATATATATATATATATATATATATATATATATATATTCATGTGTTGTATATTTTCAAAATCAAGGAGGATGTTTTGTGTTGTGCTGCTGTTTCTTCATTGTATTTTTGGTGAAGTGAAATTAAAACCTTTGTTTAGTTTAAAATTTTGGCGTTTTCACTGTTTGTATATAGGTATATGTTTATTGAATTACCATCTGACCAAATTAAGCTAATGCAATTCTGAATTTAAAGTACAGGCTTGCTAACTATAAGTACTGTTCGATGAGTTTTTTATATTGTGATATTTTTTGATATTATAATATTGACTTGGTTTTTCAAGACACGTAATATGATGCCTTACATATATGACAGTTAGTTCATGGTTTTAACTCGTTTAAGCAAGATAATGAGTTCTGTACTGAGAATATAACATTTTAATTGTTACATATTTACAACTAGACTGTTGTACGATCTTCATCGAAAAGCAAAAAATGAAGACAATTATACATTCATCCCAACTTATTCAAATCAGTAGTAAATATATGCGTTCATATTTCAACTCACTATAATTTAATTTACTTTCGATGGCATGAGATATTCATAAAACAATTGTTTGTTCTTTTAAACTGAAAACTTGACTATTATTAAATATCGTTTTTATCAAACAAGCCTGAATACCACACATGACTAAACTATGTTGTATCTAAGCTGTAAATGAATAAATAACGATGTAATCAACTAACATATCACCAAAATCGTGAAAAACTGCTATGATTACCGTAATTAAAACAAAGGTGGTGACTAAAATTTTATCGTTAATGAGGTTCTTTATAGTATTCATAGTTATGAACGTTTTAAATCATTCGCTATAGGGAAATCTCAGTTTCAAGGGCTCTGATACCATAATAACATTGGTAAACAGTAAAGCAGATGCTGATCGTATTGCGAGAATATTTCAGCAGAAGATGAAAATACATATTGCTAAGATATTCAATTGTATTACCACTGGAGTGTTCAGGTAGATTCTAACTTCTGTTTAATGATTTTTCAACGGGGATTGCATCCAAAGCTGAATATTTATCATTTCAGAAACTTTGTCCAAAAATGATTACATTTTATTATATTTGTATGCAAATAATAAAATTTTAGAATATTATCCTTGATTTCAGGAAGAATTCAGCTGCAAACATATATTAAGTCATATGGAACAAGATCTGACCTAGTATTGCTAATTAAGTCCTAAGTCAAAAAGCCATAAAAAGATTATAATCTAAATTTTTGAAGAAGTGTGAATAATTTAATACAAATTTAAAGGAGCTTAATTTATACCTTTAAAATATAAGCGTTACAGTGAGAGGTGATGCTAAGCGTTTATGATGTAAAATCCTATCCGTACTGTTCTTTGTCTACAAACGGACTGGACGATTATGAATAATTTAGATATATTTTATAGTGATCACATTGTCATAATTTGTGGCTTTCTTGACAGAATATATCACGTTTAGTTCACAACTTTAGACGAGTTAAAAATGAACATAATTCATTCTTTGCCCTGTAGAATACGTTTATGAATCTGAATGACTGTCCAGCTTCTACATTTTTAAATCCTGATAACAGTGTTTTGTTTTCACATGACCATGGACAATCAAACTGGTGATATATTTCTAAAATTTAAATTTAACTACTTAACTATGACAAGTAGTATAATTATTCAACAAAATATTTCAAAATATCCATCGTTGAATAAAAAACATAATCTTACTTGGTATCCGTCAAGTCTCCCAAATATCCTTGAGTTTCACATATTCTGTCTCATTTAGGTAATCACCGAAATCTTTATCTTTAATGTAACTAAATTTTAAAATATAAAAAAATCCCATTCTGCAAACTAGGACGATACAAATACGCAAATAATATTGCTTTCGTTCTTTGATTTTCATTAGACATTATTCTAATATACAGTTATATTTTTATCCATGTATGAAAAACGAACAAACTGATCAAGGTAATATTTTCGTCAATGGTAACGCTGAAACGGGCTACGTAAGTACACGTAGTAATAAATAACCATAAGTTGATAGATGACAGTCGAACAAGTGTTGCTAATAAATATACAGATAACAGCACATTTTACTATCAGTTTGTGGTTTGTGCTTGTTGTGTCTAGCTATGCAGTCTATTTTATTGTTATCAGCGACTAATAAGTTGCCTTGATCGCTTTATTACTTTTCATGCATGAGTACAAATATAAGTATACATTAGAGTAATGTCTGACGAAGACCTGATCGAGAATAATAGCGATCAGTTTTATATGTTATTTTAATAGAATTATTATGGGTATTTTCGTCGTTTTTTACTGAAAATTCTGCATAATTGTAACTGTGAGATTTTTCCAATCAATAACATAGCTATTAGGTTTCTTCTGTTTGTTGCTCGCTTGGTTCATTGAATTATTGTTAATTAATATAAACGTATCGTAACTACTCGGAACTTATTTTTGAATACTATTAACTCATTATATTATTATTTAAAGATATTAATGTAATGAAGGCTCCATAACTTAAATATCCCGCTAAGTAAACACAAGGCTTAATATGAAGCAGTTTTATTTGCTAACAAAACTGATAATTCTATGAACATGAATTAGTCCATTTTTCAGCTACCTGGGAATTTGGTCATTATATAGGCTATGTAAAATCACATAATATCAGTTGTAAACTAAATATTAAAATATGTGGGATAGTCTACAAAAATGTTTTCAATTAGTGGTTTTTATTAGTAAACTAGCAAACGTATTGTAGTTTGTTCGTACTTGATAATTATCCATTTCTAATATATATGTAATTAAAACTTTGACCAACAATGAAAATAGTTGTGTTGTGTATTATGTAACTGGCAACAATTGCATTATTTTATGTACATGTGAAAGATTACCGTCTACTCGATAACATTCATTTTTATACTTGAATAATCGTTTGTTATTTGATGAATAGCCTTGTTATAACATTTTGGTAAAGTATTATGTATGTAAGTTATAGTTCTGATATCTGAATATCAATTTTCATTATCCATCAGTTGACCAATCGTTCTGGTTCAATCATTTATTTAATCAGCGACTTGTTGTTTTAATAATACTAAACATTATAACGCTTTATCTACAAATTTGGCTGTCGTAATGATAACAGATGACTATCCAATAAACTGTTAAATGAAACTGATACTGAAAAGTGGGAATTCTAAATATTTTCATTTCCATATATGTATGATATTATAATCGTTATATATCAGGTTACCCCTTGAAATGAGATTTTAAAAATTGGCAAGAATGTATTTATATTTGTTGTCTGATATTCAAATGGAATAATATTTAATTTGTAATTATACTCTGATAAAAGCGTTTACTAAAAATTAATCATCTGTTTACATTTTTTATTATAGATAGAATGGGTAATTTAAAAGAGCTATTTTCGTTGTGCGAAAAATGCTAGTCATGACTGTTTCCGTCACATTTCCATGAGAAGTAAACATATTTTCAGTTTGATGCCAAACTTAAATTTATATTCATTTCCTGAAAAACGAACCTACTGATTTAGTTAGCTAGTTGTTTTCCTTTAATGTATACGTTACAAACGTGAAAATTAAACAATTATAATTGTCTACTAAATAAATTAATATCTGAGTACTCTTAACACCGTAGGTGTCAAACGATGCTTATCTAGATTACTTATTATCGATTTCTTTAAAAACAGATACATGGATCAATTGAAGTTAGACATTGATACCGTTGAATGCCGGTTCAGTGGTCTGGAGGCTAAGCGTCCTGGGTTCTAGTCCTGCATGCACTGTCGTAGATGCGCACTGCTGAGGAGTCTCATACTAGGACGAAATGGCCGCTTAATACTTCCAGATTTTCAACGGTGGTCCAGCTTAGATCGATACATGAATTGAACTATTGAAAGACACGTGAATGTCAAGATAGGGCCTACTGTCTTTAAGATACTTACTTTGCAGCGGCACTAGATAACCAATGCAATATATGACTCAAATTTAGACGGCAAAACCTCAGCATATAGACAAAAATTAATGGTATAGAAGTGAAAATATTCAACAATTGGAGGGTCAGTATTAAATCTATGTGTTTTTTTTCACAGAAATTATGATGTGAAATATGGCAATCAAAAATTAATAATTTAGGTCAAAAAGTTAAATGTTTATCTATCAGACCTACAAACAAAATTGTAATGAATAGGCTTTTTATGAACTATATGGCAGGTTAAAATCTACACTTTAATGTTAATCCTTTATTGTCATTTACAATCAAAGTAATTAATATTTTGTCTGACATCGCAAACATTTTACCGGACTCAATATTGAACCAATGCTGTTATCAAAAATATGTTTTATTCTGTTTGTTTCTCAGATGAATTGGCTTCAGTTATAGTAAAAATAAAAGAATTGATTACAAAAGCTCTAAAAAATAATTTACCATCAGAAAATTTACGTTATGAATTAGCGAATCAACAACACTTTTACATGTCTGAAAATCAATTAAATAAGATGGACTTATCATCAACATCATCAAGTCACTCTGGATCGATAGCATTAACACAATCTACCGTAAAACTTTTTCCAAATATTTCGGGATCTGTGTTTAAACAAGCTTTAATATTCTATGAAACAACACATGGTACGTTCGGCATTGCTGTTAAGAAAAATGAACTTATTTTTTTTGTTTTTTAAAATCATTTCATAAAGTGTTCTAATTTAAAATTTCTATTCGACTTATCTGATAGTTTCAAAGTTTATTCAACTTGGTTTAATCAGTTGTTGTTAAAGATTGTGAATATAGAGATATGAAGTTAAGAAGTGTAAAAATGTGAAAAAGCAGTAGTCATCTGTATTTTAACTGAAAGATCTATGTATAAGAGCATCATACTATCGATTTATAATCAATTTA